ACAGCAACAGAATAGTTGGAAAACAACCAACAAGACCTCATCTCCTTCACTGCTCTTATCAGCTAGGGCTCTTGGGATTAATGATTTGTGAACTATTACTTGTGTAAATTTATGGTGGCTTTCTAGTTCTTCTCTTTGTACTGCATTCCAAAAGATCGGTTTTCTCTCATGCATTACAGATTTTTTTAAACTATTGGATATTTTAAAGAGATTATATATATGCTTATTGTTGTTACCTGCCCTTGAAGAATATTATTTCTCCACGTAGGGTCGTAATAGCATCAAACGTCAAATTTGGGTCACAAGCTTGTGGAGTTATGGGTCCTGTTGGCTGCACAGCAGTATTAGACTGTCCTATAGGAAGAGTATTTTATCTTTTAGTATGGAGAAATATAAACACACTGTTCAGAAGGTCTTTGAGGACACCAAGAACCCTCTTTACAGAGAATGAGAAGGCATAGAGTTTTAAACTAAGGGTTTGTCACTAAAAACAGGCTTTTAATGTTGATAAAACAAGTTGTGTTCATATTTTCCAAAATGAGTTTTTTGCAGAACTGGACTTCAGCTGAAGTTAGCTACCAGGAATTTTTTCTTTTATTATCCATTGTTCAGCAGCAGTTAAACTTCTCATTTTGGTGGAATAAGCATATCTTTAATGTGGTTTTACTGTTTACCAGCCTTTCATGTAGAAATACTGAATAAAAACTTTTTTTCCTACCATAGATGGCTTGAATACCATCAATGTCATCCTGGGGAAGAAGGAATTCACTGGGGTCCGTGTAGGAGTAAGTAGGATACATCAGTGCTCCAGGATCATGTGAATGAGATAGACCCAGTGAATGGCCAAGCTCATGGGCAATAACAATGAACAAATTGTAGCCTGTAGGATAAAAATCATATGAAACGAGGTAAAATCTGTTTCAGTATTCAGCACAATCGACTAAATGGGAAACACTTATGCATCCTCCCAAAATACATTATGGGTATAAGAGAGGCTGTAAGCAATGCTGTCAATATCACAACTCAAACATATTGTCTCAGAAGAGCTATATGGGTACTTAAGGAATGTCTGCCCTTAACTGTGGTCTCATTGTCCTTTCTTTAGTGTCTTCATGTCTCAACCTCAAACCCTGTTTCTCCTGTTACCACGTAAAATGCTCAGAACAAAGATCATGCCCATGATGAGTGGAGGTTCAGTTATCCAACAGAAAAAAACCCCAAACCTTCAGAACAAATACTGAGATGACAGTTTTGGTGTTACTTGAACACCCCAGTTAATACTAAACTTTGAAGTGCTAGGTTAAGAGGGATAAATGATCTGACTTGAGAAGTTAACCACCAGATCTTCCTGTATTCAAGTTTTAGGTTACATCTGGACAAAAAATGTATTTTTAAGTGCTGACTTAGTTGTCATTACAAAACACTATGACCTAGAAATCTCTTTTCTACGAATTGATTCCTACAAGTGAAAAGAAAAAAAGAGCAAAGCCATTCAAAAGGACACGTTCTGCCACTTTTTCTCACTTCTTGCCTTGTAATCAGGCTCATGAACTGCACATCACATGAGCTAAGACTGTGCAAGGCAAAACTGTATAAATGGATCCAGTTACAGAGTCCTTACCTCTTCCATCCTTTGTCCAGGTTTCCTCCTCATCAAGATGCACATCTCCACCAATACCTTCACCAGGCTGGAAAGCATGAGCCAACTGCCCATTGGGGCCATCAAATGGAGAGTTGTCTTTGTGGTCTAAAATGAAGAGGAAAACATCAGAATCCTAAATTATTTCTATGATTGCATAGATATAGGTGGCTATTTAATACATAAAAATATAAATGTTACCTCTATAAGCAAAAGAGATCATTATATCTGCTTCTTTGTCCTCAACTTTTTGGAATGTCAGTGGTGTCACATTGCTCCAGACACTGAGAGCTTTTTGAATTGCTTCATTTACATCAGCTTGTCTCATCTTTGGGGTGTAATTCAAAATCCTTCAAAGCAAACACAACTCAATATATACCGTTACGAATAGAGCATTTTAGCTGAAAAATAGTCATTTGTGCAAAAGTCAGAAAATCTTGGACATAACTTTCATAAATGAAAACTAATGATGGCTTCATTTTAGATACTGCCTTCTAGAGTCTCTGTCTTCCAAAAGTCAACTGATTGCTCTGGATGGCATAATGCACTTACTTCAGACCCCCCCCCAAAAATTTAGGAATGCTAGGTTTATATTTTTTTGAACCATCTTAGGAAAGATTACCTGTATGTCAGATTATTTCTTTTCCATTTGGGATTCCCTTCTGTGAACACATATTGGCCTATATCAGGTACACCACATCTGGGTTTTTTCATCATCTTCAAAGTGTCAAGATCAGGTTTCCCAGTCACTTCTAGTCCAAAGAATGCTTGCATTTCCTTGAGCTTTGCAGCAAGAGGATTTTCGCCCTTGCTTCGTAAATGAGGCTGGTCATCCCTTTGAAGATCATAGTAATTTTGTAGATAACTCTGAACCAGCATTAAAAAAAGAAGAACATTGTGGCGTATCAGTACTGTCTTCAGACACATTTAAATTTTCTAAGTAAACTTAAACTATTTCCCTATCAACATGCCCTGTGTTTACCAGGAGCAAGAACAGCCTATTTTCTCCAGGAACTGGTGTGAAGAGTCAGATACAATTTACAGTTTTCACATAGTTTTCTGAATTTCTTATTTTACTGAGGAAATGTCTTTAAAATCTAATATTTATTATTACTAATTAATTCCATATTATTTATGGTGCCTAATTACTATAAGAGCAAAACTTATGACGAACCTTATAACTGGTCTCATTCAAGGAAATAGAGATCGACCCTGAAACTCCACACAGCCAGGACTCCCAACAAAGCAGGTGACTACTAGAGAGTCAGCACTTGGGTCTTCCTACTAAATTTCAACAATTTTGTCTCCAATAAATAGTGTTGTGTCTATGTAAGTGTTGTGCTTCTCATAGATGTCAACTTCTTTCAAAATATTCCATAAAAGATCCATACGACAGAACACTGAAATACATGCCTACTTCAAGCACGTTTTATCCCTTATGTTGCTGAGACATGACATATTACAAGTTTCAAAGCACATGTTGAAATGTAAATTGTTGTTGAGGTTAACTATTTCTGCCCGGCCACGGAGCCTTGCTGCTAGAACTCATGCTTTGGTAGTTTTATTATTACTTTACTAACAACATCAAAAATGAAGTTAGGCAATATTCATATGACTTTTGGGTAAATAAGTTCCACATAAATTTCACATGTTTTCTAGATTGATAGGAAAATTTTTCTCTTGAAACGTCTGCAAAATGGTACATCTTTAATTTCAAACCACATTCTGTGAAAAGAATTATAGTTATAGATATTTCTCAGACTACCTTATGTTTCAGTTATATATGTACTGAAAAGTATTTACCTCTACAAGCTGTAGGGTTTTTCCTTCATCGTTTGCCTCTGGAGCCACAGGAAAAGCAGAGGAGACAGCCACATAGAGCAACAGGACAAGCGAAAGGGTCTTCATCCTTGTCTAAGGTTGTCTGCCTCGGTTTCACTCTTGAGCTATTGAACACACTTCTCAGCTCTGTTTATATAGCTAATTTGTAAATCAGTGACAGCCTGACTCATGCTGTATAATATCCTCTGATTAGCACAAATGATGCATAACTGTTTCATCAGCAGCTAGTGACGCAATGTGTTCAACAAATGTTACTGTCCTTATTTTGCCTGAGCCTTCTGTTTTGGGCAATTTTGTAGTGTGTTTAATAAAGAAGGAAATGCTTTTCAGGTAAAAAGTAGGGCTACATTTTGTATTTATTTTTGAATCATGAGTTTAGAGTATTTGTGGCACAAGATCTTGACAAACTGGAGAAATAATGGGAAATAACGTATAACAGCAATGTAATGTATTATAGTGAATAAGATGCTATATATATATGATACATATGTCTTAATATTTAACAATATATAACATATTATGTTATAATATGCAATAATAAAATATAAAAGACAGTACAAAGGACTGATCTTATCTAAGAATAATTGGCATCATAATTCCAGGAGAGATTTCATCAGCTAACTAAAAGTTCGTCTAAAACAATCTTATGATGCTAGCGAAACTGAGTGTTAAAATGGTTTAACATTTTTTGACTGGTATTAGCAGAAATCAGTCATGTTACTGAAATGCATAAACTAGGTTCCCATATATGTGGTAAGTAAAATAGTGTTTGTACTCTTGCCAACACAGATAAGGTCTCAGCTGCAATAGCATGTTTGCATGCAAGCAGAGATGAGCTCTGGTCAGAAAGACTCCATGAAGACCAACAGGAATTTTTGTAAGTCTGAAAAGGGATGATTAAAGTAACCATTTTGTGACTCTGTGTTGACTATTTCATGGAAGGAAGAGTGAGGGGAGCCATGATAATTGCTGTTAAATATATGAAAAGTTTTTCCCAAAATGGAAGCAGTTACAGTTCTCCAAGACTCTAGAATGGTCTTAAACAACAGTGATTAAGTTAAGACATGATGTTTGGGACTCAGGTGTCTGAGAGTTAGTGCTATTTGAGATGCTATAGTGAATCCCACCTGACCTTCAGCTGCCCTGGAAATTCTTCATAGCTCCTGTGTCATGTTAGCCAGTCCCAGGTGGGTGGCTCAAGTACAAGCAAATGAGCAATGAGGTGGAACCAGATTTAAGTGTTTTGTAATGTAAATATTCAGAAGTTATTTAGGTGTCTAAGCTCCTATTTTGTACAATGGATTCTAGCAAGTGATTCAAGTGCCCATACAACATGGACTTTAAGATGAGATTAATATCTATACTTCATTGACTGTATTGGCTAAGTCTCTATCAATGACAAGAGGAGTTTAAATACCCAGGACCCATGTGGGAACCTGCAGTGTAGACCCCTAAACTGAAAAAAACCCATTTCTAACGCAAGGACAGCTAAACATCAGAGTAGATGGTCTAAAGTGGCTGCATGTTTGCTAACTCTGGAAGATGTCAAGTACAGGCTGGACAACTTTCAGATGGTTTTGGTGGTGTTGACCTTGTTGACAGTAAAAAGCCTCCTTAGAAACCTTAAAGTGGAACAGTAAATGTCAGTGTGAGAGGGAAAATACCAATATGTGCCATTGTCTGAAGGAGCTCAATACAGGATGAAAATTTTAATTGTGTTTGCAAGTATTTCACTTAGTTTCCCAAACATCAGGGAAAAATAATGTATTTAGCATATGATTCTACACTCATTTAGCACCCCCTAATTATATCTAGGTTCAGCAGAGCGGTCATCAATCCTGGGAAAAGCAAATCACTTTATACCTTCCAATGTGAGTTACACTGCTTGTCTGGTGTGATTGACTGAAGCTAACACAGGACATTTCAAAACCAGAAGCAACAGTCCAGTGCTGGTATTTGAAATGACAAGGACAAAAATTCTTCAAAAGGTACAGCTTTTGCATGTGTAAAGAGATTCAGCCTCAAGGTTCACAGTCCAAGGAAACCTCATTGTTGATTAATCCATCTTGATTTTCAGACATGAACAAAAAGAATTGTGCGTGTTGGAAATTTCTTCAAAATCTGCTACAACTCACATCATCCTGGGATTTGTGAAATGCTGCTTAACTTCTCTAACTGTGCTTCTAAACTAGTGTTATTTCCCTGTAAATATTTCTCCTTCATGTGTTTCTATAGGTTGGTTTATATAGTTCCTGATTCAATACCTCCATTTCTTTCTTGTTTGTTATTTTTAAAAATTTATTTATTTTCTCAAGGCTTCATAGGTGTGTTTAAACACACACAGGCAAAGAAGAGATGACGATTAATTAGATGTGTCCTGTGGCTGAGTGCTAATTTTAGGAAATCGTGTTGCATCTTGCTCAGAGAGACCTTGCACATATCTGCAAAGGGTCTATGGCCAGATTTTAATGTGTCCAAGAGGATATTGAGTCAGGCAGAGGGTGAGAGGGGACATCTGGTTGTTTTCCAGGAAACTTTAAATAAATTACTTTCCAAGGCAGCCAGTGGCAGGACTAGAAAGGCCTGGACTCCACCGCTAGCTGTGGGAGATGTTTATGTATTTCAAGAGTCATCGAGTGAAAAAACTTAAAGTGTCAGGAAGGGGAAGCAGAAGCAGTGGCTTTCCTCCGTCTTGGGAATTTCCACTGTGTTGGGCTACAAAGTCACGTCCTATTTCACTGTCTGCATTGGCTTCCTACTGCATGTCCTTGGGCACATCTCCCTCGAACGAGGGAAAGAGAGATTTCAGTCATCTTCTCTTTCCATGGGGCACTAGCTAGCACATTGCCACCCTCTCCTTTTCAAGCACTTGCCTTCAGACAAAAAACTCAAAACCCAACAGGAGACATGAATAGGCCAAGACGAAACTAAGAGCCCTCTAAATACATGAGAATTTTCACTGAGTGCCAACTGGTGTCTACACAGTCCCTCACTTTGTGTTGCGTTGTGCCTGCACCTAACTGGCACCTGACCAGCACAGCCTGTCCTGACCTCTCATTAAACCCAATTTCTAGCTATTTTCCTGGGCCATGGGCTCTGTCCCGTGTGCAGGGTGTGTGTGGGGTGGTCTCAGTGTCAGCCCTTAGGGTAGGACCAGGGGCTGGAGGCCCCTGTGTCTGTGATGGTGTGACTGGAGAGACGGGTACGTGCGTGCTAATTGGGTATATGTGTACGTGTACAAGCACAAACGATGATCCAGCTGGATAAACCAGTAAGGTAAGATGGTAAGAGCTGAATGTCAAAGTGGCCATAAGCCAGGGCTGGATACTGGGGAGACCAGGGTTCTGTGGGTTGGCTACTTGAGGGACGGGGGGCCCAAGGCAGCAACTGGGGAAGCTGAGGGATCTGGAGCTGGAATAGAGACCTGTTTGTGTGTATGTGCAGGAGGTAGCAGAGGACACCAGCACATACCAGGGCAGTTGCTGGATGGACAACGTGTCTGAGCCCAGCTGCTGGGAGATCCATAGCGTCTTTTTGTGTACCTGTGTGCATGTGTGTGTACCTACTGGGAATACACTCTTAGCCTCGCTGCTGGCTGGACCTGGGGGCATGGAGCTGCAGCAGCTTAACCTCTATCACGGTACCAGATCTGGACATCTCCTGACACATTGGCCCTGCCTGAAGTTTGCCTGGAATCTCCATGTAACCAATGGAGAGGTAAACTTTGCCCTTACCTACCCCCAATTGTTCTTCAGAGGCAGATCTTTCCTGGACCACAAGTATCAGTAGTACCTCATTCAGGTTGCCCCAAATCACCCCGCCAGGCCTGGGACCCATCTGTTAAGTCAGTGCTAAACCCAAACTGGGTGCCTAAGGAAGAGGTGTTCGACACTGTTGTTAAGAAAGGGTCAGCATTTTCAAGGGTTTTTCCATTGTACACTCAGTCAGTACAGGATTGTGTCTCCTTGTATTAGCAGGAATCATGCTTTATTTGTACATGTGTTCCTCAGCAAAGCTGCACCCTTGTTCATGTTGAGGCAAGACCTTAAAGTGTCCCTTTTCTAGGTACTCTACTCACTGTTCCTTGTTCGTTAAGTCTGCATAGGAATGTAAGCACTGTCAGAGGTCTATCTAGAACATTTCTTCTTTGTAGCATTGACTGAAAGGGATATTTAGGCAGAGAGTAAGAGGAGACATATTACCCAGAAGAGCTTCCCAGACTTGAACAATTTCCTGTCTCAGTGATTTCCATTTACTTTATACTACACTTACCTAGGGCTTGCATTTGACTCTTCAGACTATATCCCTTTTCCTCTAGTTATATCTGATAATATTTTAAAATGTTCTAATGGCTTTCATCCTTCTCTCCATAAGAAGAAACCTCCATCGGCACCCCTGACTAAACAATAAAAAAATAAATTTACAGTGTGAATCATAGTGGAGTTTCCCTAAATCGAAGTCTGTCACTACAGAATTACTGTAGAAAAGGGAACTTTGATTGATAGTTCTGTAATTTTAACATTACAAAAAATAAAAATGGTACTTCTTAATTCTAAGAATTATTTACTATTATAATTTGTCACAATGATGTCTGCAATCGCTTTCTCAGTAGCAGGTAGCACAACAAAATACAGTCATCATTCCTGGAGGAAGTACTTTTATGTCTATTCTGTGCTCTAATGCATAATGCACATCTTAATCTCTTAATGTGCTTTCAAATATATTTTGAAGCAACAGAATAAAAGTCTTTCTGCAACCCAGGACGTTAGCCTGAAACAAGTTATTTTGCTTGGGGATGTCACTGAAGACTGAAGTGTCAAAGATATAAATCATGTCACTCTGCAGCAATATTCAACTGGTATCCAGATATTCACATGAAGTTAGAGAATTCATTAGGAATTTTCTCTTAATGAGCCAAGTACATTTTAATACTGAGATGAAAAAACCAAAGGCAACCCTCCAAGTAAGTCATATGTCTTAAAGTTTGCATAAACTCATGGCTTAACGTCACCCAATGTTAAACATTTCCTTTATAGAAATGCTGTTGATTCTGCTCCAGAAGAATGATCAGTCAGTCTGTTTACGATCCAGGGTGCTGCTCTAAACAGTGTTAGGAACACAATGGTATAATTCAAACCACACAGAAGTCCAAAGGCCACTGTGATAGGGCTCAGGATGTCAGCTGTTGAATCAGTCCTAACTGTTCTATTGTAGAAGAGGAATTCAATGTGATAAGGTGCAGACTGGGGCAGTGCCCGAGTTACGCCTCAGTGACTTGCATAGCCTCAGACATGGCATCATCAATGATTTCAGTAAAAGGAGAAGGGAAGGAGTGCCACTTTCCATGCCAAGCACCTGTTTTCTGAACACACAGGAAAACCAAATTACATTCTTCATCCTTGCAGCTGAGCTGTTGCCTAGGTTGGGAACCTGCTCTGATGTGCCCTGGGCATGACTTCCCTGATGGCAGATGAGCCCTGGGATGCCTTGCAGAGTCAACCTTACCGGCTTGAAGTCCTTTGCCTCTAGCTTGGCAGTTGTGCAGATGTAAAACCTGCCCTGAAAGAGATAACAAGAGATCAATGTCTCCACACTGATCTACAAAACAGGACTGGACCATCTGAGACATACTGGAGTTGGTACAGGCTCACAGACCTCCAGTTGGATTCATGGTGGTACCAAATATGAAAAGGACCGGTGGCCCAATCCCATTCCTCCCCTCTGGCTGATGAGGCCTTCCATGCATGCCATGGCCAAGGAAGCACACTGACCTACAGCCTGTCTAAACATAGCCAGACCCCTCCATCCACTTATCTCCCTGTTTTCCCAAACCTGTTCCTCCCCAGTCTACCTTGATCCTTCCATTACTCTGCCTTTGATCTTTCCCCCAATCAATCCATAATAAATTTTGCACATTCTCACAGTCCCCTTCAAACATGACATAACAAGTTTTACAAAATCCCCGAATTCTCTTCCTCTGGATTCTGATCCTTGTTCCCCTGGTAGTGACCCCTCAGCCTGTGAGGTTATGGGGACCCTCTCCCATTGACACATTGTGATGGGTGTCCCCCAGTCCATGGGGGCTCCTTTGGACAGCTGGAGAGGAGCAGGGGCACGTCAGGGATGACTGGAGCTCCCCTAGATGTCAATGTGCCCCTCTGCTCCTGTGTTTGTGGAGATGAGCTTTTAATCACATATATATCAATAAATATTTTAGGGTAGGATTCATCACACTTAAGGTTAGCCTTCTATAATCAGGTGCCTAACATAAACTGCTCAAACAGGCTGCCTCCTCAGTCGGTAATGACAAGGAGCACTTCCATCCCTAGGCACCCACCTCAGGCTGGGAGGGAGTGCTCTCTGGAGCTCCTGTCTGTCTCTCAGTAAATATAAACAGTAGCTTTGATTAGCCTGCTTGCTTAACTCTGACGTATCTAAACCAGATTGAAAGTAATCCTAGCTCTAGGAACAGAAATGCTCTTCCTCATGGGCATCTGACTGGTAGGGCTCTGTGCAGGGTGATGTACAGCATGAAGAGTGAAGACAGTGGAAAAAATAAAACAAGACACATTTTTGTATAATATCAAAAGTAAAAACTGCTTTGTTCTTTGGTAAGCTAGCAATCCTGATGTTAATGACATACATATATACACATCAGTGTGTTAAATACTGTTCTGTTATTTACAGAAACAGAGATTGTGCAGGGGCTGAGGTTTGCTAACTTTGAAGTGCCTATACATTCCATATACTTATAAAAGAAAAAGTGTTTCTAGTGCAATAACACTGCATTCTTTCCAACACCATTACAGATTTCATTTTCTTAGCACGGAAACCAGAAGTTTGTCTTTAGGATGCGTGTAACTCTCTTCTTATCAGGGTCAAACTCAAATTGCTTTCTTCCACGGAAGAAATAAAAGAAGTCTAGGGGGAAAAAAAGCAGATGAATCATGATATTGCAGATGGAAAGATTAGTATGCTTTAACAACATCCTGAAAGAGCTCAAAAAAACTTCGGATACATTTACAGTGCTGACAACATCTGTTCCCAGGTTTAACCTCTGCAAAATGGTGCATAGCAGCATAGGGACACTTTCCATAGCAAACCAGCCATGCACACACTGCACAATATACTTAATGAACCCTGTGAGGTGACCCCACGAAAAAAATTATGTTTGTATCTTTCTGCAGTTTAAAATATCTGCTGTTATGCAATGTCTGCGTAGATACCCTCCAGAAGGGTGTATTTCTAGTCTCCTGTGAGTAAGCGTTGCGCAGCCTGGAGTGTGGCACTGGGCACAGCGAGGTGCGAGCAGGCGCAAGCTTGCTGGAGTCCTGTCAGAGACTGTGGGGAGGGAGAGGTCCAGCCTGGGGCAGCTGCATCCACACTGCCCACCGGGAGTGATGGCCACAGTTAAGGATCCCCAGCATCATGTATAAGACTCATTTTGGAGGAAGCTGGTAGATTTGCTGGGAAGCCATTAACTTGCATGGGTTTTGATGATCGGGAGATGAGGACCCAGGTGGCAACTGGGAAGCTGTGCCATTTGGCAGTTGTGGATGTACCATTGGGCCTGTTCCAGCATCTCCCTCTCTAAGTAATATTCTCTCATACACAGAAGCTAGTGCCAACTATGATTCTCAAAGCAGTGCCATCTTATGTCAGAGGGCCAGGCTTAGGTAGCCTTGCTCACAGCAGATAGACCTTATGGTTTTGGGACATCACTGTCTTGGTAAGCCAGCTCTTCGTGGTGTGAGGTTGCATATCAGCATGAATACAGATATATCATTCTGTCCCTTGGAGCTGGCCTTTCCATCTGTGAAACTCTGACCAAAAGTGTATTACCACTATTTTTCAAGGGGGTAAAATGAAGCATGGGAGTGTTATGTGACTATTTCAAGGTCTTGTTAGTCATCTTGAGGGCTATAAGAAGCACTTAGAAGTGCTTCTCTCTGTCCAAGCACTTTCAGCCCTATGACCCTGAGCATTTAATATAGATTTTATTAAGAACAGTAACTCACTCTCATGTTGAAAAACAGCATCGATCTTCCCATTAATTCCTGGAAATCCATCCCTTATCAGTATGGGCTTCTTGTCCATAGACTGACTTCTTTTATCATAACTGAGCAAAAGATAAACAATGTAGTGTCAATGAAAACTGCAAGCAATTCATGATTAATTTGGCTCACCTCATTCTACCTACTAGCAGGTAACTGAGTTCACGGAAGACTTTCAGTATCATTTAGGTAACACTGAGACAGGCATGATGTGCCATAAATAATTACTAATGTATTAGTTGCACTGGAAGAATTGCTTCTGTTTACATCAGCTCAAGATACTCTAAGAATACCTAATATTCAAACCATCATCATAAATCTGCTAAGAGATCGTACCTAAAGGAGAGCTGGATATTCTTATCTCAAACATAAGTTAGATTTGTAAGATTGTTAAAAGATGGATTTCATGTTCCCTGTCTGTAAGAAATATTTATCAGGAAAAATCTGATTTTTTCTTAAGTTATAAGTTATTTTAAGTAATTTTCCTTACTTGTAGCAGGCTGTTCCATTTTGAGTGAAGTGCAGTTTATCTATCAGTGCTAGAATAAGAAGGCTTCTGAAAGCATTTTCATTCTGATACCTTTGCCTCATTAGTAAAAGATTTAATGATCAGACAAACTGATCATTATTTAATGATTTAATGATCAGACTCAGCTGAGGTCCTTCAAGCTATGAGAGTTTGAACCAAAATGTGGAAGTCTGTCCTTCTGCTTAAACTACAAATAAATGGCTAAATAGTTACTCCAGGATGATCTCTGTATTTATGATGACTTGGTCATTGTGGTGGCAGGAAAGAGAGAAATTGTGTTATTCATCTGCAAAAGTTCAAGTTATCTACTGCTTCTGTTGGAGGAACAGCTCCTTCAGTTGTTAGAAATATATATCCTGTAACACAAACCTGAGCAGTAGGGATTGGGTTCAAAAGGGGAAATAATCATGAAAAGCAGATACTTCTGTGCAATACATGCATTTATCAGAAACTTTATGAAACTGTTAGTAACTGAAAAAGAGTGGGATACTCCTGACCTCACAGAAACATTTTTGATATAAATAGTGACGTTCTGGCTGATTTACTGAGCTGACTTTTGGATCTGTAGGATGGCTTTTTTCCCCAAGACAATTAAATGAAAATAAATAAATAAATAAATAATAAAAGAACTGTTAAATAATTAAATCAATTAAAAGGTAAAACTAAAAGCACTGGTTTACCTCCCTTTCAAATATATTTCCATAGCCAGTTGTGACACCAAAAGACATTACCAAAAATGTGTGACTAATGCATCCTAAATCATGACAGGATATTGATCATGTGATTATGTTTGCTCCTATTTAGGAAAGCAGCACAGGAAATGTTACCTCCAAAATTTGTCTGCTATGAAGTAATATATTTTCCCTCCATTTCCATTACAGAAAGCAGCATCAATTTTGGTAACATCCTTTGAAAAGCCCAGGCTATAGATTTTTTGGGGGTATCCAGGAAGCATGGCATCTCCTCTCAAAACCCAGAATTCATTCCCTATGAAGAAAAGTTGATGAAAACATTATCAGATTCTTCTTGGAATGACACAATCCTTTCATGAAAACTATTCTTTTAATGGAAAAAATGCAGAGAGAAAAAAATGGTTACTTGAAAACATTCTAAAAACTAGTTCTAGGGTCCAAAAAAAGTGCAACAATAGTTGTTTGCCCCACATTTTATGAAAACTGAAATTTCAGTCTTCCTTCACAATTATCTTAGTTTTCTACCAGCTGGGAAGAAGCATATGTTCTAACTTTAAAATTCAATAGATGATTTTCCAGAAAAAAAGAAAAATAATTAAAAAAAATATTTTGGCAGGGAAACTGCCTATATTGACATTATATATTGACATTAAAAACTAAGATACATGTTCCTTATCTTAGATAATATTTTTGTTATATCTGTGATTAAAATATACCAATTTATTGGACTAAATTAAAGCTTGTGGAATCCTACAGAAAGAGCTTAAAACACAAACTCTCATGACTACTTGGAAAGACAACACAGGAAAATAAAAAGACATTTTACCTTTAAAAATGACTGTTTCGTCTTCTTCAGGAATTTCATATGCAGCATCAACACCAGGTGGCAGCCATGGCCAGAACGAAGATATTAAATTAAAATCAGCTGTTCTGACTGCAGGATGCTTCCTCCAAAAATGACTTACATAAATATAGAACAGGTTTTAAATAAAATCAGACATTCACACAGAGTAATGCATGAAACCACATCATGGCAACCAGGGCAGGATTTATCTGACTAAGCCCAGTCATGTTCCCTTAAGCGCCCGGTAATGTCAATGGAAAGAAAGTTATTTCCATGGTGGGTTTTCTCTCATCTTGATGCAGACATCTAAAATAGGTCAGATGAACTGTTTTGTCAAAACATTTATTATTTTCCCTTACACAGAAAGGGAGCCTAGAGAGACCTGGCTCACATGGTTGGTATGGGATAAAATTCTGGGAATAAAACCCCACCCTAAGGTTACCAACATCAGCTTAGACAAACAGTCGGTGCGCGTGAGGATCTTCTGCAAAATAACACTTTACTGGCTTTGTGACTTCAAACTTCGAGCTCAAAATTCGCTTTAACATTGATTTTGGGGAGGGTCTGAAGCAGGGGAAGCACAGCCCCTGCCACATGAAGGAGAGGGGAATCAGCTCTTATACACCTTCTGCTCAAGACTTTGGGCTGTCATGCCCTGGAGAAGGACAGTATGTCTGAGTTTAACACTAAATCAATTATCCTTTCCTTTTGTTATTGTACTAAATCACCACTGCAGGGGTTCTTCAAGCAGGTATTGTGTCAGAACTGGTAAATCTTCAGCTCTCTCAAAGCAAGGACAGAAATGAAGATGCCATCTGTCCCAGGGCTGATGGTGTGTTTTGCCAAAGCTGAACTCTCCCAGATGTCAAACACTTAGGACTTGCTTACAGCCTGAAGTGAAAATAGCCCATGTTTTCAGAGCAGCCATCTTTCCCCATCCTATTCATAGAATTCCATGTTTTAAAGGTGATCTTACACTTATCTCTCCATTTCTCCACCACCCTCTTTGTTTTTGCCTCCCACCTCTTATTGTGCTTCCCTGTCTCACCTTCCTGCCTTGAGTGGCTGATATTTAGCATAAAGTTATTTTTCCATGCTGTAGGGCATAATTTAAAAATTATACCCAGCTATTTTACTTTCAGAAAGCTGGGTTACCTGTTTTTAAAGAACATTATTTCACCACGGAAAGTGGTGACAGCATCAAAAGTTAAATTTGGGTCACAGGTGTTTGGCAGTGCAGGATCTTTTGACTCAGTTGGGTCTTTTATCTCAGTAGATTCCCTTTGGTCATTGTGGATGTTAGAAGATGGTCCTGAAAGAAGCAGTTTATGGAAGAAATTAAAGAGAGAACTGATTCAGGTATATCCAGTAGACAAAAATGTCACCGAAAGGAATTCCAAAATCTTTGAAATTATAAACACTAGTTGATTAATAATTGTGAATTACCATAGAGGTACTGAATGCCATTAATATCATCTTGATGAAGAGGGAATACTGAAGGGTCAGGTTTCCTATAAACAGGGTACATCAGAGCATTGGGGTCTTTAGAATGGAAAAGTCCCAGTGAATGGCCAAACTCATGGGCAGCAACATAAAAGAGGTTTGTACCTGGAAACAACAAACAAAACACATAATAGGAGAGCTGTGTTTTTTCATTTATCCTGAAAACATGAAGAACATAACATAGGTCAGAAGTTTTCAAAACCGTTTGCTTAAGCAATTGAAACTGTTACGGAAAATTCAGTTGGAGATGAAATTCTGGTCAGAAAGAAAAATACTGACATCATTACAGTAAAGTATAAGAAAATAGTCTGTAGATCCTGCAGAAGTCAGTGTGGGAGAAGGACCCTGGACCAGTGCAAGTGATGTAATTGTGCAGGGAGAGACAAGCAGTTTGGAGGAGTGTGGAGAATGGGGCTGCCAGGTCCCTCAGCTCCTTCCCAAATAAATCTCCATCCAGACCATGGCAGAAGTTCAGCTGGAGCCTTAACTTTTTAAAGCAGAGGGCTCACAGTCTTTTTATAGCTATGGAAGCTAGCTCCCCAATGCTCCTTTCAAATCAGACCCATTTTTATGCACTTGAGGAAGAAAGGAGGCAGACACTGCACCCATGATTTCATATACAGCCTGCTTCAGGAAGGGCTTGAAGAACTTAATTTCCTACCCTCTGTGCTTTTGGTCCAGGTTTCATCCTCATCGAAGTGAGCATCTCCACCAAAGTCCTTGCCGGGTGCGTAGGCATGAGCAATGGACCCTCCTGGGCCATCAAAGGGGATGAAGTCATTGTGACCTGTGGAGCAAGTCCCATACACAGCTGACCGGGGGTTATGGAAGTTACAGATCTCAGCCCTGAACAGAGCTCTCTGTTCTGCTGATTTTGTAAACTATCAAGTTCCCCTTCCACAGAGATTTGCCAAAAGCTCTATTTTTCACATGGAAAACTTAGGAAAATTTGAATTAATGCATTAGGAGTGAAATCTTGTTTTTTTCAAGAAATGGGTGGGCATTTACATACTGCTGTTGCAGGGGAAGGGAATGACATGGTTTAGGTTAAAATACATTTCCTTTTTTAGACATAAGGTTTTTTCATAAACTCTGTGTCAACAGTCATCAGATGGTTAACTGAACCTGACTGATAATTTAAGTGTTGATGGCAGAAGCAAGATCCCGGTAAGATGATAAGCTCTTGAATGTAGTATCCAGAAAACAATTTAAGGACACAGAGGTTACGTGTGGTGCCTCTCTTCATAGCTTGGATGAGTGGATATGTTTGGGTGGGAGCAGAGAAGCAGACTTAAAGAATGCATGTGCATGATTGTTCATGAAAGAGGGAAGGCTGCTGGTAAACCTACCCTGAGGGCAATGCCAAAAATATAAGCCTTGAGTCTGTCTAGAACTTATTTAGCTCACACAAAGCACATGTCTAATCCCAGGAGTGTAACTAGAGCTACCTACTCTGTAATGCTCTGAGCCTGGGTATATCCCACAAACCCTGTGCCTCTTGTGGTTTGTGCACACACTGGGCATCATATACTAGTTACAGATCCGGTGAACTGCAGGCAGCTTGTTACATGTATTTTCTCCCTTCTTGTCTTCATCTGCCTCTATACCCTCCCTCAAAGATCTTCAAGAATTATAGCCATAGCACCTTGATCGGGAACTGTGTTCTTTTGTCTGCTTGTTCAGTCTGACACTGAACTTTGTATGTGCTACCTGTGAGAAAAAAGTCATTCCGGTCAACAGCTCCGTATAAGGCAGTAACTTGGCAGTAACTCATAGTGGTTGCGTAGAGTTTTACCTCTGGCTGCAAAGGAGATCATTATGTCTGCATCACCTCTGTCCTTCTTGACGAATTTCAGTGGGGTCACACTGCTCCAAACACTTAACGCTTTCTTGATTGCTGCATTGACATCTGCTGGATGCAAGTCTGGTGTGTAGTTTAATATCCTTTAAAATATGAGATAGAAAACCAGCTGTGTTCTTACAACTTACGCTGTGTAACACACTGTCTTTACATTAAGCATTCCACTATAATTACCTGTATGTCAGAACTTGTTTTGTCCATTTCGACTCTCCTGCAAAGGTGGAGAACCCAGCTATGTCAGGGAATCCACAGCGACGTTTCTGTACCAGGTCCAAAGTGTCAGAATCCAGGTTCCCTGTCACCTCTAGTCCAAAGAATTCCTGCATTTCTTTTATTTTTTGGGTCATTGAACTATTACTTTTCCAAATGAAAGAATCTCCATCTTTCTTAAAACCATAATAATTTTCCAGGTACTTCTGATGAAAAAAAAAATAATTTTAGGACAGTCAGTGGTGTTTGCTATTGAAAATCATAATGAATTATACTAGCGCCACTTCAGACATGTATTTTTGATACTTTTCTTTCTGTTCCATGGGAGCATGGGTAATTGAGTTTGTTAAATCTTGTATGAATATTTTCTCTTAATGATAGGGTTTTGCTTTATATTATCACTATAAATGTTTTGCAGTTTACTCAGAATACATTAAAAATTAGCATTTGTCTAATGAATTGATTATTTTCTGGTAATGTACCCTCCACTTACCCTGTGCTCTAGGGTTACCCAGAGTCCTTTAGAGCAGGCAGTGCAGAAGCTGTTTGAAATATATGACTGAATATAAAATTTCATCAGTACTATCCCATTTTCTCACATTTTTTGACAGTAATAATTCAGACAAAATAATATCCTTATTTTATAGTTCTGTCTCATAATACCAGAAGTCACATAAATAGCCACATTTCCACCTGAATCAAACATAGACTGACTCAGTAGCTTAATTATTTGTAGAAATAACACATAAGTAAATGCATCATCAGTTTTAATAGTTCTCTACAAAAATATAAACAAAGAATGAGTCAGGAGTAAAGAAGCCTTTGTCATTCTGGTATTCATGCAGCCCCCACTCAATCACATTCTTCACTCTACTGGAATCTGCAGAACTAGCTCCTCAGCTACTGTATACTAGTTCCAGAGACTGCAATGGATGCTCAACAGCTGCTAAAGATCTCCCCAGAGATCTACCTTCCTCACCTGGACAAGCTGCATGCCACCTTCTTTCTTCTGCCTTGTATCTGCAGGAAAAGCACAAGAAAGTGCCGCGCATAATAACAGAAGAAATAGGAGGTTCTCCATTCTCATTTTTACTGATCTTTAGAAAAGTCTTCGTTGTGGTCTGCACACACCTGCTTCACCTTTATATACTACTCGTTTGCTTTATAAGGCTTTCCAATCCCTGACTCATCGATTCTCACAATTTCTAGTTAGCAACAGAACACATGCAAAGCAATAAAAAAGATTGGTGCTGCTTTTCATCCGGTTCCACCCCTGTGCAGGTTTTGCAACATGAATATATGATTAATAAGGAGGTAATAGATCTGCAGTTCTTTTTAATAAGCTGATTAAACTTTTAGCTATTAAAATGTAAGCTTATTCTCCAAAAACTTAATGTTTCCCATTCAAGGTTAGTATTGATATCAAATGGATTGTTGACCTAAAGGGGAAAACATTCACAGAATGTTAGAGGACTGTAGACTACAAGTAGAAAATTTGTTTTCTATGTTTTTTTTGTACTTGTTTGTACATGAGCATGTACTTTTGGAGGCTAATATATGCCATCACCTTTTCCTTTGGTAGAGTCCTTCAGGATTAAAAGGTCAGTGCTGTAACTCCCTGTTTGATGAAGCAGTGCTTTATTCATGCATTTTTTTCTTTGATACCTGCATAAAACTTCCTTTTGTCTGCAGAAAAACATGGAAGTCCCACAAGCAAGTGAAAACACTTTTCTCATAGCTAATATCATTATAAAAATTAAGCCAAGGTGTTTGTATGCCACTTTTATTCAGCAGTTTCTACTGTTCTCAGAGAATTGCCCGATTACTTTGTATTTCATAGTCTACTTCTTTTATATTTACTGTAAGGTTTTAGAAAGCACTGAGGTTTTCTGGATCAAACTCTTTGATGTTTTTTGCAGTCAGAGGAGAGGATCCTTTATTCTCTATATTTGCCACTGGTGGTAAGAACTGCTGAGACTCAACATCAGGTCTGCTCTCCAGCTGGGTCCGCTTTACCTCCGTGCCCAATCACACCCTCCATGCACTGTCACAAATGAAGACAAATCAGAGGTAACAGTGAAGGCCCTGGGAAACCTGAATAGAGATGTCTACTGCCATTGGACTTCTGTATCTGAGACTTCTGCATGGGGCTGACACACCTGCAGAACTGCAGGGAAGGTGGGATGTTGCATACACAGAGAAATATATCCCCTCCCACGCAGCTGGCAGGACAATAGAGCTGTGAAAGGAGAGATTATAAATATATTGTACACTTGAGATATTTGCTGATTTTTTTTTTTCCTACCGAAGAGCACTGTGTTGGTATCAGAAGCATCCCCAGAACACAACATGCCTTGTTGCCAACCACAGCAGGAAATGGGGGACTGCTAGGTATGGACAGCTGGAATGGGGCCAGACCCTGGCAAGGCTGGTGGTACTCTGCAGGGGTTGTCTGGTCAATGAGGGCTGAATTCCGACCCTGAGAGCAGACACCTAACTGAGGCATTCGTATCAGGGCAGAGGCCCCCTCCCTGGTCCTGAAAGGAGATGGACAGGCTCAAGAAACACCCCAGACTGGGGCAGATGAGCCAAGGGGAAGCTTTTGATTTAGTTTTTTGAGTTAGGTTAGCTGTCCCTAAGTGAGTGTATGAGACGAATTTGAAATTTATACAATACCTCTCTGCAGAAATAGCTTCTGGTACTTACAGCTCCACTGTGGCTTTCCAGCTTTTTTTCTCTTCCCACACAGTGTCTTTATGTCTACAGTGTCTCTATGGTTCTAGAGAAAGGACGTAACCTTCCAGCCTTTAGGACTTGATAAATTTTCCTCACTCATGTTTCTCTAATGAAAGGGCCATTAGAAGCCATCAACACCACCTAGGGAGCTATTGATGAAATTTATACAGATTTCTGATTAGCAGACTTCTCAAATGCATCCTTTTCTACTCTGTCAGCCTCTTTCTTACTTTTCTTGATACTATTCACCATTGCCCTCAATAGATCAGTCAGCTCCTGAAGCATTTTCCTATCATCTAGTATATGCTTTTTGAAGAATATTTCATAACCACAGAGATCTTTGATTTCATTCTTTGAGGTGACTTCATGCAGAAGTACTACAGCATATAAAGACAATCTCCTGTTTTGGTTTAAAGAAGTGAGTGCGAAAATTGTTATGTTCTCCTTCTTTTTAACCTTTAAAAGTGATGGATAATCCCTTAAGATTGCCCCTATCTTTCCCTCTTTCAGTCAATCTTCTGTCTTGGATGGATTCCCACAGCCCCAGCCCCTGCTAGCTGTACCAGAGAAAGACACATAACACTGACAAGAAGTGTTGAAATTTTCTTCTTTTTTGGCAAGGTTATTGCTAATGTACAGTTTACATATTTAAAAACTAATGCATACTGTAGTATAGAGAAAAGTGAAAGAGCCTCATCAGGACATAACTACGTTGGTTTGTTCTGCAAAAGACAAGGGCTTAATTACACAGAGCTGGAAACTGCCCCACTCCTCTGCCTTATGCACGCTTGGTGTCCTGGCCAGGCTGGACTCTGTAGCAGTGTAGGAACCCTGGACAAAACCTGGAAGACCAGCATTGTGCACAGGAAGCTTCTGAGCTGCAAAACTGCAGCATCAGCCTCTGCTGCCAAAGAGTGGTGCTTAACTCGGAGCCTCCGGCACCTCCTTCCTGGCTGTGCTGCAAACCAGACCTGGCTGCACAAACCTAGACCCAAAAATATCTTATTGCTGATGAAGGCAAGTGTGTGACCTACTTCTGGCTTTTATATAACAGTCATCCATCTCCAGCATGGTAATGCTGACTCACTGACAGGGCCCCTCTTGTCCCAGCCAGCTTCCACATGGGTCACCCTTGCTCTCCAGCGCTGAGTCTTCCAGACCTCCTGGCAGCTTAATTCTTCATTTTCTTCTTGCTTGTGGAAATGCTTTCTGTCCCTGTGAGTAGAGTCTTGCTTTGTGTGCAAAACCTGTCCAAAAAGATCTTAAATCCCAGGCACAGAGAACAGCATTAGACATCTATTTCCAAATTTTCTCTGCAACCACAACAACCGTCTTGAAAATTAGGACGTCTTGAAAAAATCTGCATTTCATCAGGAAGAGGAAATGCAGTAGATTCTTGCCACAATATATCCAAAACCTTCTGTTTAACACACTGATTCTCCTCACCAAAAAGCAACTTATGACAGTTGTTGCTAGTGGGTCTAAACCAGTCTTTCATCTGCAGAGTGAGTGCTTGTGCCTGAACTGTTGGATGTCCAGGTCTGGAGCCCATTGCTTGACTGTAGCTTTTAGAAGTCCCCAGCATATTTGACTGAAGTTCCAGGAGAGCAGATGCTCCCCAGACTCTTTGCTTCTTGTGCTCCTGACATTTTGTGCTAGTATGTACTGTTACAAGCTCACATAGCTAATACTCCATAAGGGCCCTCTTAAACTGTCAGTGAAGTCATGAAGACATATTTATGCCTGAGTTTTCATGTACAAGAGATTACATCTGGGACAACAGTTGTTCAGTCAATAATTTCAGGTGTAACTGGGTGTTTCTGTGTGTGTCTGTTTTTGTGTGCTTGGTCTCAGACTCATAGAAGATGAGTACTTGAAGTTATGTTTATGGATATATTTCCCCTGCTGCTATCCAAGAGCCTTTCATTCCAGCAATTATTTATGAGTTATAACAAAATCGTGGTTACAAGAAATCTTCTTTTGCCCACTAAGTGTAGACAGGCAGCTCCAGAGCTCCTGTTTCCAAACCCATCTGAATTACATCTTTTTATACCATTTGTCAGAAATTTAATTGCTTTTCCCAAACCAAAAGTAATGTTTTTTCTTGCTAAAGTTTAAGACATTAACAAAGCAGAAATAAAGATGGAAAATCCATGGTTAGCACATCTCACCACTCCCCTTGTCTAGGTGAAATCCGTGCCATGTTGTCTTTCATTTATGGTCCAGGTTAGACCAAAACACCAGACACTTTCCAGATTGTCCTTCACAGCCAAGTAAACATCATTAATTTTTCAGATACCAGTAGTTTAAGCTAATCAATACCTGGAGGTGGGGCAACTACTTTAATTTAGCTGTTTCCTTGAGGTCATAACTAAAAACCAGTACCAGCCTTATGTAAGAGAAATAAGTCAATATAATGGCCAAGGTGAGCTGTTGTAAACATTGTCAATGCTCTGCTTTGCCATTGCTGAAATGTTCTTTTCAGTTCCTTCCTCCTTAACAGCTTTCATGTCTTAGCCAACAACTAGAGCCTAAAGGCCTGATTTCTGAAGGTAGCCCTCACATACAGGAAGGTATCTAATTAGGATATCAAAGTGCACAGGCATTTTTAAAATCAAAGGGAACTAACTCCATTATTTATATACAAGCAGTACTCACAAGAGCCCTGCCCAAACCTGGAGGCATCTAAAGTTCTTGGACTGAATTTTCTTCTGGACAGGCTGTGTACACAGCACAAGCTATTGAGAAAGATACTGGGAGATGTTGGGGCAACACCAGTTTTCCTGTGTCTCTGCCCTGCTTGGACTGCTGCCAGGTGAGCTCACCCACTTGTCAGGCCATGACTTCACCATGGTGCACCACTGTCCTTGTGGCAATGCTGAGCTGTTCAGTCCCTACTTTTAAGCCCTGCTTAGATTCATGACTTAATTTCTCATCTAGGTTGGGTTTAGACCTTGATTTAGTGGCACAAAGCATGCATGAGGAGCAGAACATGGCAGAGAAGAGGTTTTCCAAGATCAAACACGCAGCATCTTGGCTGCCCATCCTCGGTCTTGTCTGCTAGCACAGTGGGTCTGTGGGTACACTGGGAGACACGTGGCTTCCTCTGGCTCTGATGGATGGTGGACAGATGTTAGTAGGTGTTTTGACCTGATCTGAAGGTTCTGCCCTGTGCAGAAGACCAGGAGCAAATCTCACCTTTGTCTAATGGGGTTTGAGCTGTGGTAACTGGAAGCCTGTCCTCATCAGCCATTCCCACCTCCTCTTGGTGCCTTTGCCAGTTCTGCTAGAGAAAGAGGAATAATGAGAAGGATTCAGCTTCCTTGTATAATCATATCATCAGAGCAGTGC